TTTTTTGCATTACAATGCATTACAACAGTTTACTGTCAAAAGAGTTATGTAAACCGTAAGCAGTGAAAAAAGAACTTGAAAAGCAGAATTTGTCAACAAACGTACACAATAACATTTGGTGGATGAAACTTACGACTTTCAAACATCCGTTGCACTGCACAATGCTGCTGCTATTGTTGATTTTGGCAGTACTGTGTTGCTGTTTTAGCTGTTTAAAAGCCACCGAGTCAGAGCTAGTCCGAAAAGTCCTGAAAGGCTATGAGATTCTTGAACGACCGGTACCGAATGCTATGTTACCATTACGGGTATCGATGGGTATCGTCTTGCAACAAATTATACAAGTGGTATATTTTAAGGTTTCACTTATTTTCAAGGTATTTTGAAAACCTTTTGTTAACTAAATATTACTCAGTTCTGTAGTCCTCCTTATTGTTTTTTTTTTTTTTTCTGTATTTTAGCCACTTTATTTTTTCAAGAAATATTTTGCTTTAATAATGTTCTTTTGATAAACGTAAATGTTATCCTTTTATAATTGTAGTTAGCGTAAAAATATGCTGCTAGCTGTTGTAGAGTATGCATCGTTTAAAAATCAATGCTTTGTAGATTTTAGAAATACTATTAAGAACATTCAGTCGATTATTGTAGTTAATCACTGAAGATATTCTGCAAAATCATTATTTCTTTAGACCTTTAATTTTAATTTTATTAGATCAAATGTTTTAAGCTACTAACTTCTTTCTGTAATCGTAACCAATAAAAAATTCAAAAAAAAAAAATAGCGAAATTAATAACAACACTTCTAGTTGTAATTTTGATAAAGGGAAAAGCTTTATATTTTTGATACAATGAGAATCTGTGTTCGTTCTTCTCTTCCTGGCTGTTACTATCAAAAAATATGACTAGATAATATAATAAGAAAGAAAGCCGTACTACTAAATCGTCAAAAAATTACATAAAAAGTACGGTAGAAAGTATGATAAAACAGATTAATTTTCAGGATGAAAAGAATCAAATAGTCGACGCTAACGTTTGGATAAAATTAGTAAGTACTTTTTTTTTGTGTAACCCGGTTTGTTTAGTATTTCTTTCGACATAAATGAAGACGAAGCTTTTAGTAATTTACAGGAAACAGTTTTCTATATTTGTTTGTCAATAATTGTTGTACAACAGTGCGTAGTAATATTATCTGTAACCGGACAACCGAATAGTTAAATGACTTTGTACTTCTACTCAACAGTCGGGCGAACTTTTTCAATGTAGCCAGTATTTTCCGGCAAAATTAAGTGCATTAGAGTTTTTTGTGAGCGGCCATCAGATGACGACATAACAGTATTCCTGTTGCTAAATAATAACTATTAGCTGAGAAAAAGCTGGAATACTCAAAAGAACAAACTGAAAACGTAACGCTAAAGCTTAGCCTTGTTTAAGAGGAGTATTTGGTAGAAAACAGTGAACGTAATTAAGCCAATTTGCAGTTATACTACATCAATACTATAGTATTTAATATTTAACAGCTATATTTAATATATAACTGCGAGAAATATATTGTCGTCGATAATAGCAAATTTAGCTAAAACGATGCTGCAACAGTTTTTTGCAATAGAAAGGTTGTTGTTTAAACGATCAGATGCTCCTGGTGGTTAACTTACTAATTTCACCTATAACCTTTCTTCTAAACAATTTCAACTTTAAAATTTGAAACAAATTATTCGAGTTAATTAAAAAAAATTGAAAAAAAACAAAAAATTTAAAAAATTAAGAGTTTGAATCGAAATCAAAGAAAAGCCTCAGATTAGTAGTATTATTTACAATGCTTTAACTAGAATCTCACACTCGACTTGACATTTTTAGCATCTAAGATTCAAGTGTAGAAAAGAAGTAAGTCAAGTTTTGGTGAAGAATAATAAATGAAAAGCAATTTATTAAGAACAGGTGCTAAATGAAAAGGCTTAATTAAAAAGAGTTTAAAAGTAAATTGCTCTTAATATTGTTAGTTAAATAGAAATTTGATGAAATGATTTAAATTAGGCTAATTCAAAAGCATTATTGTTATTGCTCAAAAAACGTGCAAAAAATTATTTTTAGTCAAGTAATCCTCCAAAAGCTTATAAAGAAGAAATTTAACGAAAGTAATGAAATTGATGAGGAGATATTTAGGTTATTCAGAAAATTTAAGCGTCACGTGTAATAATGATAAGTAAATCATGAATACTTGGTTTATTTCTCTCAAGCTCTTTCGACCTGTGCAGTTAATTCCTTAAGTAATGTTTTTTTTTGTTTACTATAGTTTTTTCTTAGAATTTTCGCTTACTTTAGTCTTGGTATGACTACAAAATTAAGTGGGATCCGCGTAATTACAGTGGCATAAAATTCCTACGATTAAAGAAAGATCGTGTCTGGACACCGGATATTTTGATGTACAACAGCGCACATCGTCAGTTTGATGCTGTTTATATGACAGATGTAGTTGCTGATTACAATGGACTTATGAAATGGAAACTGCCAGGTAAATTTTGATACGATGCTAAGCGTTTGTTCTTTTTATATTTTATTGTAATTGAAATTTGTAGTTGACAACAGCTAAAAAATTCTATGCTCTAAAACTTTATTAATTCTAGGCATTTTTAAACTGACTTGTACGGTCAATATAGTTTGGTTTCCATTTGATGAGCAACAATGTTTTATGAAGGTATTTCTTGTCACGTCAATTTTAAAAGTAACTTTTTTTGTCACAGCAATTTTAGCTGACATTGGTAATTACATCAATGGATATTTACAGTTTGGCTCGTGGACTTATGATGGTTCTAAGTTAAATCTTACAGAAGCAGAAAATAGCTTTGATACATCTAATTATATGGATAATGGAGAATGGATACTAAAAAGTAAGTTTAGCTGGTTTTCTACTCTGCATTTATGAGCTACTGGTTAAAAAAATATAATGTTTTGAATACTGTAAATTTTTCATTGAAATTATTGTAAATATTTTTTATTCTATATGAGAATATGTTTAAAAGAAAAAATTGTGTAGGTACTGTTTTTAAAAGATCCTCTTTTCTGTTGATATTTCGTGTTTCAGAACTGCTGCTTATAGGTTAGGCTAATAAAAAAAAGCAAGTCTTTTTCGTTCATTTTAACAAGAAATCTGTAATTAAAGAATTATACGCGCACAGTAACCATTTTATAGGTTTCTTTCAAAAAGTTAACTTTTTTGTTCTGTTCTTAATCTGATGGAGAAACACAGTCTGTGTATTACAGCTAAATATTGTTTTTGATTTCAGATACCTCAGTAACTAGAGCGATAAGGTATTATACGTGCTGTCCTGAGCCTTATTACGATATGGAGTTTCAATTTACGCTCAAAAGAAGAACAGAAGCGTATGGTGATAATTGCTACTACTTGAGCATTACAGTTATTTTAGTCAGTATTGTAAGCGACAACTTTTTTCAGCTTTCAACCTGCTTATTCCGTGCTCGTTGCTGACTATGTTAACATTGGTTGGATTTATTGTGCCCCCTGAAGCCGGAGAGAAAGTCTCCTATCGTAAGTTAGACAGAAAATTAT